ATGGACAGGAGGTAATATCCCCACAGTGATTTTATCAAGTCTTTACAGTTAGGTTTTTCCATTGAACCTAAATTTTGGGATCTCCAGTCAACTAGGTTGGGTTTTCCTTTGTAATGACTTATTCTTTCAAGGGCTTAAGTCCCATTCCTTTCAATGGTTTCATAACTAACTCTCTATTTAACCCTTTGGTTAGCGGATCCACAATGTTATCTTTTGACTTTATATAGTCAATAGTGATAACTCCAGTTGAGAGTAGTTGTCTTACGGTATTGTGTCTACGACGTATATGTCTAGACTTACCATTATATATGTTACTCGTGCCCTTCCCATTGTCGATTGACTGTCACAATATATGCAAATTGCTGGTATATGTTTTGACCCTCTTGGAATATCCTCTGAGAGTTGCGCAACCATTCAACCTCTTCACCACATTTATCTAGAGCTATAAACTCAGATTCCATTGTAGATCTGGCTATAACCGTTTGCTTAGAGGATTTCCACGATATGGCAGCACCACCCAATGTGAACACATACCCACTAGTGGATTTTGAGTCTTTTATATTAGATATTCAATTAACATCACTGTATCCTTCAATGACTAAGGGATATCTAGTACAATGTAGTCCATAGTCACGAGTATATCTTAAATACCTTAGTACTCTTACAATTCCTTTCCAGTGATCAGCTCCTGGATTACTCTTACTGACTGTGTAGGCTATGTCTGGTCTAGTACAACTCATTAAGTACATTAGACTTCCGATAACTCTCGAGTATTCTACTTGAGAGATACTTTCTCCTTTGTTTTTAGACAGATGTTGATTCGTATCTATTGGTGTTCTAGCCAAACCAGTATCATCCTTATGGAATTTTTCTTAAATCTTGTCCACATAATGTGACTGACTTAGAATAAGCCCATTTGATATTCTTGAGATTTTCACTCCAAGTATAACATTAGCTAAACCTATATCTTTCATGTCAAATCTCGAGTTTAACATATTTTTAGTGGATTCAATCATCTTATTGTCACTACCAACAATAAACATGTCGTCAACGTAACGACATAAGATGACATATTCATCTTTATTGTCTTTGACATAAACACATTTGTCACATTCATTGATTTTAAATCCACTCTCAATCATGACGTTGTCAAATTTTTTCATGCTATTGTTTTGGTGCTTGTTTCAAGCCATATAGTGACTTCACCAGTTTACAGACTTTCTTTTCCTATCCTAGTGACGAAAACCCCTCAGGTTGTTCTATGTAAATTTCTTCTTCTAAATCTCCATTTAGAAATGCAGTTTTAACATCCATTTGATATAATTCAAGATTTCGCAAAGCGGCAATCGCAAGTATCATCCTAATAGATGTTATTCTCGTCACTGGAGAATATGTATCAAAGTAATCAAGGCCTTCCCTTTGTTTGTATTCTTTAATTACTAATTTGGCCTTATACTTCTCGATAGTTCCATCTGCTTTCACTTTCCTTTTGAAAATTCATTTGTAGCCTAGTGGTTTGCTTCCTAGAGGACGATCCACTAGCTCCCATGTATAATTTTGCAGTATGAAATCTATTTAACTTTCAATGGCTTCTTTCCATTGAGGTCCTTTCCTGGAATTCACTGCTTCTTGATAACTTTGAGGTCCACTTTCTAGCATATAGGATAGAAAATTAGGACCATAAGATTTTTCTGTCCTTTCCCATTTGCTGCATCTAACCTCAGTCTCTTCTTCTAATTCTTCGTTCTGACTATGTTCAGTCATTGTCTCATATGTTCGTTTAGAGGAGCTTGCTTCCTCTTTGGATCTGTATAGAAATACTTCTTCAAAGAATGTAACATTCCTTGATTTAATTATCGTGTTTTTGTGTATGTCTGGAATTTTTGAATCATACACAAGAAAGTGATACACACTGCTATTATGTGCATAGCCAATGAAGACACAGTCTATAGTTTTCGGGCCTATCCTTACCTTCTTTGGTGGTGGAACAGTCACTTTAGCAAGACACCCCCACACTCGCAAGTGTTTAAAGGTAGACATTTTTCCTTTTCATAACTCATAAGAGGTCTTTTCCGATTTCTTTCAGGGCACCTTATTTAAAAGGTAATTTGCTGATAACACGGCTTTCCCCCACATGTTCTGAGGTAACCCAAAACTCATGAGCATTGCATTCATCATCTCTTTTAATGTACTATTTTTCCATTCAGCAACACCATTTTGTTGCGGTGAATAAGGGGCAGTAGTTTCATGTATGATACCGTGTTGTCCACAGAATTCAGCAAATGGTTCTTCGTACTCACCACCTCAATCACTTCGTAGCACCTTAATTTTCTTATTAAATTGATTCTCAACTTCATTTTTATAGAGAATAAATTTCTCTATAGCTTCATCCTTGCTTTTAAGCAGATATACATAGCAGTATTTTGTGCTATTATCAACAGAAGTAATAAAATACTTGTTGCCACCTCTTGTTTGTACAAGTTTTAGATCACATACGACACTGTGAACTAAATCTAGTGGTTCTGTATTCCGCTCAATTGATTTAAACGATGACCTTGTCAATTTTGTTTCAACACAAGTTTCACACTTATATTTGAAATCGTTATTGAACTTAGGTATGCAGCTAAAGTTAACTAGTCTTCGTAAAGTATCATAATTAACGTGTCATAGTCTACCATGCCACAAATTGGAAGACTCAAGCAAATAAGCAGAAAAACTTGCTTTATTCATTTTTGATTTCACAACCATTACACTGAGTTTCAACATACCGTCGGAAACATAACCTTTTTCGACAAACATTTCACATTTTGACAAAATGACTTTATCTGACTCAAAAATAATGCGAAAATCATGCTTATTCAAAAGCGACCCGGACAGTAAATTCTTGCGAACTTCTAGCATATAAAGCACGTTGTTGAGAGTCAGCTCCTTACCTGAGATCATTTTCAGAACTACTTTTCCTTGACCCTTGATTTCAGAAGTTGCTGAATTTCCCATGAACAACTTCTCCCCATTCTCAACAGCTTCAAATGTATCAAACATCTTTTTATCAGAGCACACATGCCTTGTAGCACCGGTGTCAATCCACCACTCTTTAGGGTTTGAACCCACCATGTTTACTTCAGAAATGACTACTGCGAGATTCAGCTCCAACACATCTTGTGCCATGTAGTCAATCACGTTTGCTTCTTTCTTCTTCTTTGATAATCTACACTCCGAAGACTTGTGACCCACTTTGTCACAATTGAAGCATTTTCCTTAAAATTTCTTCTTGACAATTCCACATTTCGGTCCTTGCTTGGTTCTTTTACCACCGGATGACCCAGACTTGTTTTTGTAGTTCTTACTACTTTGACCGAGCTCCACAACATTGGCTTTGGCCACACCAGGATTGAACCACTTCTTCTCGAAACTCTTGTTGTCTTCTTTGATTCGAAGTCTAACAACGAGTTCTTCGACGTTTATTTCCTTTCGTTTGTGTTTCAAATAGTTCTTGAAATCTTTCCACGCGGGGGGAAATTTTTCTATAATTGCAGCCACCTAAAAAGTTTCACTCAACATCATTCCTTTGGCATGAATTTCGTGAAGGATCACTTGGAGTTCTTGCACTTGACTGATAACAATTTTGGAGTCCACCATCTTATAGTCTAGGAATTTTCCGACTATAAACTTTTTAGCCCCGACATCCTCAGTTTTGTATTTCCGGTCCAAGGACTCCCACAATTCCTTAGCAGTTTTCACGGTGCTATAGACATTGTACAGCGCATCTGTTAGGCTGTTCATGATATAATTTTAGTACAGAAAGTCCGAATGCTTCCAAGCATCAAGTGCACTCAATGCTTGCACATCTCCCTCGCCCTCATTAAGCTTTGGAGCAGTTTCAGTCAAGAATCTAGCAAAATTCAAGGTAGTCAAGTAAAAAAGTATTATCTGTTGCCACCTTTTGAAATTCAAGTCATTGAATTTCTTCGATTTTTCTTCATGATTAATCGGAACAATTACAATTTGGCCAGTTTGGCTCACAACATGACTTGGCATTCTAGCCACAGTCTGAGCCACAACGGAGCTTGGCCCTTAAGCCACATTAGAACCCACAGCCTGATTTCCAGCAAGAACATTTTGAGTCACATCCATGTTGTTCGATTCGATTGCCATTTCTGAAAAGAAACCAAATATTAGTTCCAAGAAACAAAAATTCAGTTAAACCAAAAACGAACTCTTGTTTTCCGAATTCACGAACTGTCTTAAGCTTGTAGGAAACAAGTCGCTAGTGGATGAAACCAATTGTACAAGTTTTATTCAATTGCAATAGCCGACTATTGAAATTAATAACCACAAGGCAAACGATTTCAATTTATCAAAAAAAATTTCGTTTCAGAATTTTCCAACGGCTGAAAAAAATGTTTAGCAACACAAAATCAGAAATATAAGTTAACTGTAGGCTAAAACTGTAAACGATGAATCTGGAAGCTGCACACTATGGGACTACAAACTGCATGAATTAAATAGTAATGCGAAAATAATCTGTAGAAAGAAAACACAAATTGCAGCAGATTTCAAACCGAGGCCTGTGCGTGCACAGTTTCCTTAAGACAGTTTCGCCTCCTCACCGTAGGTGCTGGAGGTTCAGTTCGAGCGGCTATCTCCCAGGATACAACGGTAATAAGTAGAATCCGAGCACCGTGGTCCTACTCCGACAAACTGATCTAGTATCCGAACAATATCACCACAAGAACAAGACCTTACTGGACAAGGAATGTAGAAAAAAAGAAACTGTGTATGCAGGAATGTAGGTGAGATTTTCGAGTGTGTTAGATTGCTGGAGAATAAGCCTTTTTATAGGCATATTGCCCATTAATATTGTGACCATTGGGAGTTTATTGGAGTTACTTCCCATTAACATTGTGACCATTGGGAGTCCATTGGAGTTTTTTCAATTTAAAAACTTAAAAGTCATTGGAGAAGGCCAAAAAAAAAATTGGCAAAACGTGAGCTCTCCGATGGGACCATTTTTGCCTTGTTCGGTTCGACATTCGTGTGCGCAGGTCGCGCCCGCACCCAAGTTCAAGGTCCGAAGGCCATTTCGGTTCATGATTTGCACCCACCCTGCCCGCGCGCGTGGAGAGAGCCTTTATACTGCACATGATTACACATCTCCAAAGTATAGCCATATATAAAGTGGTTTGAGTTTCCTTGATTTTCCTATGTGGGATAAATGCATTTTTTTCCCTACAAAATCAACTTCCAATGACCAACTTTAAACTTCAATTTCTCATTTACCCGAACTTCATTTTTGGCAAATAAATACATGAAATCGATGTTCTCGCGGAGGAGAACACATATCAACTTTGATATTCCACATTGGACCAACGGGTCCCATCGAAAATTGTGTCAAAAGTGAGCCGCTCACTCAATTTTTTCCAACAATTTATGAGAAACAATCGAATTTCTACCTTTGTACTTTATCTTTATTGTTTTAGTAATTTATTTTTTACAATGCTCACTTTAATAACTATAGTGCCTTTAATGTTTCTGCAGGCATGGGTCCTTGCTCTAGTTATTCTACCTGTTAGGTCAGACATTGCAGTACGCCTGGGAGTAGTCATCTATCTAGCCTTATTGTGTTAGAGCGTGGGCTAGCTAATAGATGGGGTAACATAAGGAGAAAACGAAATTATTTTCACTTCTTACAAAATATATACACATCTCTACATCTTGGATAATTATATTCATTACACTTATGTTTGTGCAGGAAACTGCTTACGAATCTTCAATATTGTGTAGGACCAACTTGGAAGAGTGTCATTGGTGTGTGGATTCTTATTTATTTTGTTGCAATTAAAATACATGTACAACGTAGTTTAACAAAAATGGTTGACAAAGTGTGTGTTGGCAAGATCAAGGCCAATAAGTTTTGTTGCTTTCAAAAACTGTTTTTGAATTGAATGGTGTCGATTTTGCCAACAACTACTTTGTCAACCTTTTTTGTAAACCTACTTTGTAAGCATAGCACCACTCATTTTGTTGGGGCTAAGAGCGGATAGTGCACCTTCTCTCTTATGTTCAAGAACCCCACCATCTTCAATGACCGGGTTACCAAGCCTTCCAACATCGTTTGAGTTCTATAAATATGTACTTTTGAGAGCTTGTTTGGTACAACTTTTAAGTCAATTAAAATCAATTTTTTGACCGTTATTTCACTATTCCAGCTGTCATTTTTGAATTCTTCTGTCAAATTTAGGACCTACTTTATCTCTAACGATCAAAAATCAATTATCAAAATTCCTACTAAACAAGCATTGAAGTTTGGGCCATTGCAACTTACAAGAAAGGGTTTATCAGCTGCTAGTACGGCTGCATGTTTTTCTTTCACTGTAAGTTGCATCTATTCTACTTATATACTCTGTTTAAATAGAACCGTTCGTGTAGGTTTGTGAGGTATGCAGCTCATACATTATTTGTGTAACTTGGTATGTAATTGGCAAACTTCTTGCGCAAGATGAAGTGTATATGGTTAACACTGTTTCTTAAACCCATATCTTAGAATTCCCCGGTCTCATTGGTTTATGGTAGCAATTCTTTATACCTTTGCCTGCTGGAAGATATTGTTACTTATACTATATATTGTCCTCCATATATCCAAAAATCAATTATCAAAATTCCTACTAAACAAGCATTGAAGTTTGGGCCATTGCAACTTACAAGAAAGGGTTTATCAGCTGCTAGTACGGCTGCATGTTTTTCTTTCACTGTAAGTTGCATCTATTCTACTTATATACTCTGTTTAAATAGAACCGTTCGTGTAGGTTTGTGAGGTATGCAGCTCATACATTATTTGTGTAACTTGGTATGTAATTGGCAAACTTCTTGCGCAAGATGAAGTGTATATGGTTAACACTGTTTCTTAAACCCATATCTTAGAATTCCCCGGTCTCATTGGTTTATGGTAGCAATTCTTTATACCTTTGCCTGCTGGAAGATATTGTTACTTATACTATATATTGTCCTCCATATATCCAAAGCATTGTTGACCAGAAACTTTGCAAATGCAGGATTGTCGAGCTGACAAGGTTTAGGTTTCGTTTCATTTCTGATAATGCAGAGCATATATTCAAACTCATGATTTCTATAATTTTCATAGGTACGGAGATATCAACTAAGTATCGTGCCAGTACAAGACCCTGACATAGCAATTTGGTGGAAACAATCATTTGATTTAGCTCTTGGAATCTTAAACTGATCCAAGATACTGAAGTATAATTGTTGGTGGTTTTTGGAATTTGTGCATAAACTAAATTTTTTCAAGGGGAAAAGCATAAAATGAACCAAGACCTGTACATTTGAGATGCTACTAGCATTTCCCTCCCATTCTGCTTTACTCTGCTTGGACCTGAATGTTTTTGCTTTCTTTCATTTTTCTGGACAATATCTCTGATAATTGGGCAACTTTATTTTCTGGAAGATCTTTCAAATTGCGAGCCTTTGCTTGACAACCACAACACCGGAGTAGCTTGCATTTTCTCTTCAATAGTTCATTCTCCCTTTGGAGCGCATTGGTGTTCCAGTATCTGAAGTCATCTTTACTCTCATGCTTTCATTAAGATTCATCGACCTCGTGTTTGATGAGGTGAGATTGGTCATTTCAGTTGATGCACTTCTAACAGTTATCTGCTCGGCTTAAAGTAGAATTAAATAATTTTCTGGACAAAATCCTGAAACTATCGTACACTTTTGCAGGTCCGCAATGTGGCCCTTTGGATTGTATGTCGTCGAATAAAATGGGAAAAGTTGACAACAATCGATGGTATTTTATGACTTAAAATTCTGCTGCTAACCTTTTTCTATGCACTGTGAATCTGTGATGATGTAGACGTGCTTCTATAGAAATATTGTTACGTGTTCATTGTTTAACCTCCGACTTTAGTCTTGTGCGATTCTTTTGCATAGAAATAATTGAGTATTATTCCATAATCTTATTTGTGCTAACACATGCAATTATGCATAATAATTGTTTGTAGACACCTGTATAACTATGTATGCACACACAGCGAGAGGGAGAAGATAAAGAGAATCTTTCTTACAAGTCATAAGATTAGAGCCATTTCCATTCTTTCTTTGATTTATCTACCTATCCTCCTCCGTCCCTCAGGACCAACAAGGGTAGTACAGGCTGTTGTCCATCAACTACACCTTTTGGCCTGATCTTGGGCCCTTCTATAAACTTCAATGCTGAAATCATGGATTAGTTTTTGTGGGTAGGATTTAGTATATTATCTCGTATCCTCAAAAGGAAGTATTATCTCTGCATTGTAATACGCGGTTCTATTTTCTTGCAGTTTTCTTCACATACATCTGTCGAATCTTCAAGAATATCCATAACCACGCAGAGCAGATATCTCAGGTACATAATTTACCCTCTGCTTCTCTAATTTATTTCTTCATCTCCTTTCTTATATATTCACTTCTCAAGTTTCTCCTAACAAATAGACCACTCTACTGCTCCCTACCTCACTACGTTTTACTTATAAGCTTACCCAAATATGCTTGATTAAGTATGTATTTTCCGTCATAAGCTCTTCATTTTAGTGCATTGCAGGCGATGATTGTTAGAGGTTTTCGTGGAGACTACAATGCTCACAAAATTTTATTGTCGGCCGGTCCATCTTTGGCAATGCCAAGTATTATTTCTCTCTCTTGCCTTGTTGGTCTCATAGGTACTACTACTTTGTCCAAATACCTTATTGTTTGATACCTGTACTGCTATTCTGGCTTCATGCTTGGTGAAGTTCTCACCTGATGCTCGGTTATCGGTTTCTCTTCTGTCATTCCCCCGTCTTTTCTATTTATTCCTCCATTGTTTTGAAACTAACAGGCCAAATTTTTTGACTTATTTTCATCTTTAATATTTCATAAATAATTTTATGCACATGAGACATTGAGATATCTTTTCCTTTGAAATTAGAAGTGAGGAGAAACTAAAAAAATTGGGGTGGTAATAAGGGAAACAATGTCGAGAACAAGTAATTATTTATTTATTTTATGAATGCAATTGCATTAACTTAAATCATCACGAACAATTGGTAACATGAAAAGAGGATCACTGTCAACTCGAGTACAAAAAATGGGGTCGGACAAAGGAGAAGAGTTCGAATCAAAACAAAAATAAGATAAAACTTGATACTACTAGTCAAAGATTTTAATCTCTTTCTTAAACATTAAGTAGGTATTCAATATTTCTTTATATAAAAAGAAAGTTTTAAGTCTCAATTGTATTGTCATCCCATTTGGCGAAAGCCACAAACAATTAGGCTGTGATTGGTTTGGCGTTTTCGGGCCATTTTCCGTTTTGAAAACATGGAAAACGCGTTTGGTCCTTGGAAAATGGAAAACTAAACCAACCGCAACCTTACTTTCTTCTTTCATTAGCCAAAGAAAGTCCAACTAATAATCATGAACTGTACAAACCCATGCCAATAAGCAACCCTACCCAAAAGGAAGATAAAAGAAGGGGAAAGCACAAGAATATCTGAACAAACATGACCAAAGAGCAAGAGAGAAAAAAAACAGGAATTGCGAAAATTATGTTTGAAGTGAAGTAGAACAAGCAAGGGATTCTGAGAAAAACCTGATCTTGATGGCAGGTTCTCACTTCGGGAGAAGTTCACCATTGGTCCCCAACTTACTCTCTTAATAACAAGGTATTTGGTCACTGGTCGCAATGATTCAAATACTCCGCATCACTGTTAAATCATCTCTTAATACTTGGATGTCTAGTTTTGTGAAGCTAGATTTGATTCTCAACATTGAAGTCAGAAATACTTCCACGACGGTGGCGTGAGAATATAACGAAGATTGAGACCATTTTTAGACATTTTAAAGGCAAAATGTGCAATTAGATTGAAAGGTTAGATATTAGCTGGCTCCTTCGTAAGCATTGTGCACCTTGCGATTGAGACAATAGGTAGCGGACCAATAGTGCAAAGCAAAGGGACCTCGGTTGAGCTACCTCCATGATGTTTCTACTCAATAGGCAATAATATTAGCAATTTCAAGAATTTCTTGTTTGTTTTCTTTACAATACAAACTCATCAACAAAATCAGATCAATCATGCTACATGTACATTTTTTTTGGCATTAAGTTTAACATTGTTTTGAGGTGGCAAACCTTTATACATTGATTTTAACAACATTTTAAACAATCAATGACAGATTTTGACAACATATGGAGTGTCAAACTTAATATACACCAAGTGTGTACAACTAGCTTCATCCAAATCTGGTTTAACTCCTGCGATCTCCTCTGAACTGTCAAACACAAATTTGTACAAAGGATGTAGAAAAAATGATATGAAAAAAAATAAAAATAAATACCGTACATGAGTGCTAAATCAATAAGGCTACGCTAAGCACAATACACGCAAATGGAGGAGGACAATTACACTACCGACAAAATTCACTTCTTCATTCTGATTGATAGAGATATGAAACAGGTAAAACTACAAATAGAGCCATCGCAAAGCTCTAATAAGTTCATATAAAAAAGAGGTTCTATTTAGTTACATGGCTTAAAACCCACTTAAACTAGCCAAGGAAGGGATTGCAGAGTTCAGACTAGAGAATCAAGATAAAATAAAGAAGGAAGAGAATATCTCTGACCTGCAGCTGAGAAGTTTACTAGTTTTGCCAGCAGAGACTTCTTCTACCCTCCTGCATGATCTCGAAAGCGAGTTTGTATCTTTCCAAAGATGCTGCTCCTGCCTCAATAAAATTACGGGCTTCTTCTCGTAAACTCCAAAACATCAGGGGCTTGAAATCTTGAGAACCACCTGCTGAATCAGCATCTCGGAGTATTCCATATTTCGCATTTTTGGTCCATCGATGCAAGATATAGCGAGATGGAAGTTCCCTTATGTTCATTATTTGAAATACCTTCAAAGCATGCCTGCAAAGAACACCCTCAAACTCAAACATTTTACAACTACAACTGATATTGAGATTGGATGCATTAAAGGCAACGGTATTCCTCTCATCTCCATTTCCGCACTTCTGTACCAGATATCTACTGATGGCTCCTTCGACATTTATTTTTATTCCCGCATAGCTATAGCATTCTAAAAGCTCTTTCTGAAATACTTTGAACATTGTGACAGTGTAAAGCCTTCTACACTGTTCTTCTATGGGGTCTTTTGTGTGCAAAACTGCTTGCATATTAAACGAGTTAAAATCCTCCTTCCTTTCCTCTTCGCGGCGTTGTTCAAGAGCTTTCTCATATCTTACAACAAATTCATTGAGAGGTGTTTGGGCTGTCAATAGCGGACTGAAATATGATTTCAAACTTCCATCCACAGGAATGCCAGCAAAGAATGCGCCCTTTATGTGCAGGGGAACCCAACTTTTACGCATTCTGTACATCTCCTTCAACCAAGCATTCTCTCTCAAGTTATATTTATTCATAAGCATATTCCATGCAAAATCAAATTCACTAGCCGTTTGGCTCTGAAAAATGCAAGTTTCATACTCATATTTGAACTTGGCATCCAAGGAGAGTAATGCACCCAAGTTCTCCTGTTCCTTTGTGAGAATTTGCCATGCAGAAAATCGATGATATGACCCCGGAAAAACTTGTGCAATTGAATTTTGAATGGCCTTGTCCTGATCAGCTATTATAGACACAGGGCGGCACCCTGACATTGCCCTAAGCCATGCCTGAAATATCCAAGTAAATGACTCTTCCGATTCATCCGCTATTAGAGCACAGCCAAGAAGTACAGATTGCCTATGATGATTAACCCCAATAAAAGAAGCAAATGGCACAATATAATTGCTTCTCCGGTATGTTGTATCAAACACAATCACGTCTCCAAACTGAGTGCAAGAAAATCTAGAACGTGCATCTGCCCAGAAAAGACTCATGCCTTTACCATCTCGCATTTCCACTGCGTAAAAGAAATCTGTATCCTCTGCTTGCCGAGATTGAAAATAATCAAGAAGCACATTATACCACTCACTACCAATATTACTTTCTTGCACTCGTTTGACTAGGCTGAGGCCTCCATTTGTTTCAACTAAATCCAAATTTTCCAACCCACTGCTTCCTTCCTCTCTATACCCCTTTGATGCAACTGTCACTCTTCTACTAGGATCAGTGGGACTGTCAAATTCATGATTGTGTTCCTTTTGAAGACGATCGACCACCCACCTTCCCGATTCTTGTCTTTGTATTCTCATGTATGCTCCACAACCTACTCTTGAAGGGTGCTGATGCCCTTCCTTGGAGCACACAAATCTTCGGGATGTAATTGATCCATCATGTTTGGAGCGGAATAACTGACCTATCCTGACTTTAAATCCTGTAATGGCTGCATAAGCGTTGTAGAATTTGTAGGCTTCATCAGCAGAATTAAATTCAAGACCTTTGTATGGTTCACCTATAGGTACTGCAATTCCACCCATGTCGTCCTTTTTGACACGTTTGATATCGACAACAACAGATAGACCATCCTGCTCGTGTGATCTGATACCTGTCCTACTCGCCCCACCAGCTGATGACCTAGGAGTTGGAAAACTTTTTCGCTGAATCCGGGGTGGACAAATTTCTCCAGGGACTTCAAGTTCATGGTTATGATCGTTCTTTATATTGGCCAAAACCCACTTCCCAGAATCAACTTTTTGCACTCTTATGAAAGCAGGACAGCCAGTTCTTGCATTTGTCTGAAATCCCTCCTTCGAACATACAAATCTCCGAGAAATAACAGTACCATCAACTCTGGATCTATACAGCTGACCTATCCTAATTTTGAACCCCACTTGGGTTGCATAGTCACTGTAAAACTCTTGGGCCTCTTCTGCCGAATCAAACTCTAACCCCACGTGTGGTTCCATCTTGGATTCTCCTTCATCGTCACAATGGCCATTGCTTTTTCCAATTAATAGACCAGCTGGTTTCGTCCTTACAGTCATAATATTCCCCGATTCCTCTCTATTCATGTCAGTATCTGCAGTGCATGAGCCAAAAAATACACAAAAAGAAGCCAGTTATTTACAATCTACGACCAAGAATAGTCAATGTAGATATCAATCTGTCTTTACTCACTTCAGAATATTTTGTGGCAAAAATGGAAATAGAAGCATTAACTAATAAAGAAGTAAAAAATGACAAGCAAGCACATTTAACCAGCACTAAACCCTCAGTAAGTGCTATACAGTAATACTGGTTTTGAGCATAAGGAAGCAGGACAAATTATATTTTTGTACATCAATTTGACTAGTGCATATCAAAATTCCAACCTTAACATGAAAGCAAGACTCCAGAACACGTCCAAAAGGCATTTGTGCATGCAGAATCAGAGGGATTTATTCAGTATAAATAAATGGGGACAAAAAAGAAGTAAAGATATAAATAGCGAAAGGAAATTGGAAAATCATATCTTAGAGAAAATAAGTCAAGCAGCTTTTCACAGTTAATCCTACTAAAATTAATTTAGGAGTCTGCTAGACACTATCTAATAGAAAAACACGTGTCAAAAATTCAGTACACAGATAAGATTCGCTTAAGCACAATTTTTAAATACGTATCTAGCTCAGTTGGACATCATGAATGACTGAAATTTATATATAGAAAAAGTACGTTATCAAATCTCGATTCTTGACCAGCTAAGCTTAGATTCTATGAGCATTAACTTGTTTGTTAGATATCAAAAACAAGGTTCCAACTTCATTTGAAAGAGTAAAATACATTTTGTACCTTCAACTGTGGATAAATTATATTAGGCTCCCTGATTTCAGTTGAATCACTAAACAATTTAATTAATATTAACATAGCCAATTTGTTAATTAGCTGTTTGAATTGGCAACAGATTGTGCAAGGTGATGTGTTGGCATAAACACGTCAACATAACACTACACTTTCTAATTTGATACGAAAGGAGTTTTCACACTCCTATTTATTATTTTTTACCAGTTCATTAATTGTGCCATTTGCTAGCAATCATATAGCAACCCCAAAAAAGTGGCTCACAAAATGCCAAAGAAAATGGTAACTTGGAATCCTGTCCAGTTAATCCCGCAACTTAAAACTCCAAACAGAAGCTTTCCACGCCTAAATCAACCATTGACACTCTCGTTTTCCATCCAAGTAAATCCTTTAATTTATATAGTGTCCTTTATCAACTCATCCATGCATTTACTAGTTGCATCCTCAATGGTAAAATCAACCATATCCACCTCATTCATTGTCGCAACACCCCATCAATATAAAAAGGTAACCAAAGACAAATCATTGCGCTATAAAGGGAGAGAAGGATAACTCAAAATTATGAAATGAATAGATCCACCAATTATATCAGAATAACTATATATGTACCAGACAAAAATTTGAAAATGGACTAAAAGGGTGGAGTTTCACAAAGTAAATTGAGTTAAATGAAATCCTAGATTTTAAGTCTACAATCAAGAGAAAGAGCAAGCCCTGTCAGCTCACAAAAAAAATTATCATCCATTGGACACAAAATCAAATTCAACATAAAACCCCAAAAATAAAAAACACATTCAACAGAAAAAAGAAAACAAGAACCATAAAAAAAAAAATTACATAAAAAAAAGAAAATTTAAAAATTACGAAAAAATCAATTAGGGTTTTACCTTTCGCATATCGCTGCAGCTGAAAATTCAATTGAGAGTTTTTCGACCCCAAAATTATTTTAAATTCAAGTGGGTCACTGAGAAATTTCATACATTGTAACGTAAAATCGACTGATTAACGAGCGGGCCACTCAACTTTTACCTGAAAAAAATCTGATCATTTCCATCAAAAATTGAATTAGAAATGAAAATCTGGTTTACCTTTGTCTATAAATTTGCTGATTCATTGCGGTCAAGGCCGAAGGGGATGTCGATTTCCGAGTACTTTGGGTGGGTGGGGGTGGAGCTGAGGTGGAATTTTGGTACGATTCACTTTTTCTCTGTGGGTTAGAGAGAGTAAATGGAGAGAGAGATTTGTTTAACGTGGGGTCACTTCAGATGACGGGTGGCTTTGAATAGGCTTACTCCGTTTTGTTTAGCTAAAAATTTGATGAACTATAAATTAAAATTAATAATTAATTTTAATCTTAAAATATATGAGATTCATCCTTTTTATCAACTTTTATTGGAATTGACTAAAAATTTAATTTTTAATCAAACATTCATAAGTTGAAAATATACAAATTTGATTGGCAAACGTTCTTTGAAAGATAAATTGTTGCCTCTTAGTCGAATGATTAAAAATATAACACATTGAATTTAAAATAACGAACTTAGCTTATTGATTTTTTAAGTTAACTTAAACTCAATTTAATTTAGCTTGTAGTTACTTGATAAATTGAAATTGTACCAATTTTATATTTTTGGATGTCTTGGCCTAATTTATACACCATTTGTTAAAGTAAATCGATAGAAGTGTTTGGTCAATACTCGATTCCATATAGCGAATATGTCAAAAGGTAAGCAGTGGATCTTGGAATAGAGGAATCATTAAAAAAGGTGACATTTTGAGTTCAACAAGGGATATATATATTATGAAGAGAGAGTCCCACCACGAGTTTCTTTTCTTTAATCTTTCCTAAAATTGGTAAAAAAAAAAATTTTAGTGTGGAGTCTAGACATGCCAACGAAAAAATAAGGAGGTAATAAGCTGCCTAATTCACTCGACACTTCTAATCACACGACATAATGATTTATCAATTTATCGTACATACTACATATTATGTTCCTAAGGTTAACTTATCTCTTTGGTCATGAATGTTTTAAGATAAAACGCCAACTCTAACCACCATCTTATCCAAACCAATTCTAACTATAACAAGATCACGTGCTTGATGCTCATAATTTTATTTTTTTCGATTGTGCTATATGTGTATGATGATTTATATACATATTATCTGATGAGATATGATTGGTTACAATTTTTTCAACCAGATAAAAAAATAAAATTCTTCACTCTCTTTTTATTTTTTAATACCCATTTGAATGTAAATCATTACGTAACTTCTTATGCACACTAGTAACAATATTCTTTTTTGAGAAATATTTACCATCTTTAAGAAAGTATTAATTTAAAAGAAAGGCAAATTATATTTTGATCCTTTTAATGCATGAAATTTGAAAAAGATTGGTGAGAATACTTCGAAATTCCTGGAAAGTGCACACAATTTTCCATGATCTTCGGCGAAATGACCATTGAATTTCCATTTTTTTCTTACAAAAAGTTTTTTCAGCAATATATTTTACGTTGCTAATTTATATTTTCAATTTGACATCCTTTCAAATTATTTGTATTTTGTTAAATATGTATGATCTAGTCGTCAATAAATTTATGTTACTCTTTCAAGGATGATTCAGCGATCATTTGCACTCCAACTCTTAAATCAAATATCAGAAATTAAGTGTGAAAAAAAAAGGAAGAAGATAAACCTTGCGCCGAATTTTAGATATTGCATACCTTTTGCTTTTGCAGTTATATTTATAGGGTATTTCGATTGAGGTAGTTTTAAAATTTCGATCATTGTACTAACTTTTTTGCACTGTTATCAGATAGTCATCAACTTGATCACAATCATGGATTTGATTCCGTGTCTTTCGAAAATGTGTGGCACTTGAAAGCATGTCTCATACTTAGGATTGGCATAAGAACTTTCTCAGTCAATAACATCTTTACGAAGTGCAATGATGTCACCAAGTTTTGAAAAAAGTATTGGTGGACCCAAATTGACATTATTAAATTATTTCATTTTCTTTCTATCCTAATTTTATCTATTTATTTTTGTTTATTAATTTCAACATATATGGGCAAATTTGCATTGATGAACATATTTTAACTAGTTTATTATAGATTGGGTTAACATTATCCACAAAGAACCGGAATGCTATCAAAATAAAAGGATGAGGACATAAATGCTATTTTTTAAATGTTAGGGACAAAAGTGCAACGAATGCAAATCTTGCGAATAAATACTGCTATTTACCCTGTTTTTCTAGTAACCTCTCAATCAAATTATAATTTATATGGATACATGAATTAATGTATATTCAAAATAATAAATAGTTTTATCACCTAAAACAGAGAGGGTAAAATCAAATAAGAAGATTTATGCAATAGTTGTTGGAAAAATTGGCCGACTTTGGCACAAGTTTTGAGTGGGACCCGATTGTTCAATTTGAAAGATGAAAGTTGATTTATGTTCTCCTCCGTGAGTACATCGAAATCATATACTTACTTGCCAAAGTTGATGCTCGGGTGAATAAGAAATTAAGGCTCAAAGTGTGCCACTCAAAAGGGAGTTTATGTGGAAAAAAAGAATTTGTCCCACATAGGAAAAAGATGAGGAACTCCAAAGGTTATTGCCATTAATGGTAGCCTAGCCTATAAATAGTGGCTCATTTTCCCCATTTCAACACACACAAAAAAAAGAAAAAGTTTTCAAGTTTAGAATATATTAGAAATTCATTTGCATAGAGTTCTCTCTTGGTGATGGTGTAGTTCAGGCACTAGTTCAGTTCGTCGGAGTGGTTTCTGCGGTACTCGGAAGCTACTGATTTTACCGTTGTATCTTGAAAAACGGACTCTCGTTTTAAACCTCAAGCACGGACGGTGAGGGGGCGAAGGAAATAAAACTTTCAATGATCTGGTGAAAATTCGATATACGGTTGTCTGAATTTTGTTGATTTGCATAGTTGCAAAATTGAAAGCTTTGTCAAAATGATCTAAACTGTCTAAGAAGAGTTTGGGATTTAAGCGGTCCGGTTGTGATCCCCCTCCTCATCTGGGAGTTTTTTAATTGCGCATTATTCAAATTGACGAGACGAAAACAACATTTCTCGATTTTATCCACATACACTGAATTTCCTACAATAGTTTTACATATTCCAATTTATTTTTGAAGTATAAAAGAACTCGATGAATTCTACTATGATCCGATCTCTTTTTTCTCCATGAAACTAGTAATTCAATTTTCAATAAGAATCAATTTTGTTTTGTTTTATTTTTAGGATACTCGTGCCTAACCATCGGATGACCCAATATTCCCATTTGTTTCAAGGGACCATGGTCACACCTAAACTTATAAGCTGGGAACTTTGTTACAAAAAGAATTTAGAATGGTATGACTTTGGACTTGAGGCTATAGGTTAGGGATGAATGGTGTAATTTTTAATTATGCTATTCTTCTTCAAATTTTTTATCTAATTAGCATGCTGGCTCGTATAAAAAGCTATTCTTGGAAACAAAAGTATTTTAATTTCTTGTTAAATATCTACGTGATCCTCATATACGTTCAACTTTATAGAGTTATATTTTATTCACAAACTTGAATTGATGCCTGAAAATTCAAATCAAGACATTTTTACGAGGTCACGGTTTAGAAATTTTCATAAAAAAAAAAAAAAAAAAAAAAAAAAAAAAATTAGGAGAGTCGAGCATTTCTATGAATAAAAAACCTATCACACAAAGGTTCGAATCCTGAAATATGAATTTGACTTTTGGATAAGTGTAAGTGTACAAGTAGCCTTCCACCCTGTATCCTTGGAGGTATATCCCGTGATTTACCTCCCTCGCCGTACTTCAGGAGAGGAGTGGTGGGGACCAAGGTTAGGGTTTAACCTTTAAAAAACCAATTACACAATCAAGAATCGGTTATGGAGAGATTCAGTAATGGGTACTCCGGCGTAGATGACATGAAGGGTAACATAGACATTGAGGCCGGTGATGGGATGCTGTATCCCGGAATCAGTTATGGCGAGAATCAGCTCCGATGGGGTTTCATCCGCAAAGTTTACGGTATTGTTAACCCTATCGTCTAAAATTTTTGCTATCTATTAGAGGGCAGGAGTATTCCTTACAATAATTGTATTGAACAGGTATTTTGGCCGCCCAGATCCTCCTCACCACTCTCTGCTGTGACTGTTCTTTACGCCCCCATCAATGATCTGCTCCGTGGAATTCTGGCTTTATGCTCTTCCTCTTCGTCACCCCCTTCTTCCGTAAGCACATTATATATTCTCAAGTTGTTTTTACAATTACATAAACGTACATATAGTCATACACTTGGATACTAGTGTAGTTTCTATAGATGCTTGACCACACTGAAGGTCAACTGCAGATTTTGTGTGAAATAAGATTGTATTTATAAGCATTTTGACTGTAAAATGTGATCATCTTGGAGGTAATGGAAGAATGAGGTTCTTCGTTTCACAAATCTAGATCTTTTTAAGGGGACAAGTTCTCATTATGATTTGCCAGGAAAAAAATCTGTGAAAATAGGTTTGTTTCGTCATATACCGCTCCATATGATATAGGATTCAAGTCAAAAGTCAATGCTGTTTCATGGATGGCGAAAAGGTTTATATTCTTAGTTTTCTCTTTCCATCCAACCATGGTCGTCCATTCCCATGTATCCTAAGTCCAAGCGCTGAGTCTTCATTTGTGTATGTGTTGCTTGAGGCACAATAGCATCATGACACACATTTCAGTGCACTTGTCGATTTCCAGATATTTTGGGGACGGTAATGTCATCTTGTGATCAATGGTTTTTGCCCATAATGTGCTGTATGAGCAACTTTTTACTTTCTGTTCTTGGATTCCTAGATTTTGTTTTTGACATTATCTTTTAAATGCATTAGACATGACTGACTATAATTTGGTTATTATAATTACTAACTTGTACATTTGACTATAAATGGTTAATCCATCATTATATTATAAATCTTTTCTGATGCGGTTACAATGTTTACTTTTGTTGGTTACTATTCTGCATATGATCTGTTCTCTCTTTGTAGATAACTAGACGTGTTTATTTTAGTTTTCTTTTAGTGGATACTGCAGAAGAAAAGAGTTATGGACTCTTCTCCAATTTTAATTTCCCCATGGCCATCCTGGCTAGCTCCTCCTGTTCTATTATTATTCTTGACTTGACTTGACTTATCATTATAAAAACTATTCACTTATTCAAATGGCAGTGAGTACGTTAAGATGCTTAAGCATCATATCTAGATGCCTATAATGTGCATGTAATAAACATGGAGTTATCCTTTAGGAAAAGCTCTTTTTAGATTGATGATGTGATCTTTTACGTGTTATTAAGTCTTGGTAGTGAACCTAAATCTTGTGCATTGTTGTGGCCCTTGCACATTTATAAACAAAAGCACCCACTGAATTTCGTATTCCTCGGGCTCTTTACTGCTTCTTTGAGTCTCACTGTTGGCATTACCTGTGCCAATACTGAAGGTTAGTAGGTTTTCTAGGAATTTCGATAAAGTCTTGTGTCATTCATTGCTTGTTTCTCCCCTTACATCTAATGGTATGTCAATTCACAGGAAGAATTGTGCTCGAAGCCTTAATCTTGACATCAGCCGTAGTTTCGCTCTGACTGGATATACTTTCTGGGATTCTTGTTTGCTAGCCTTATTGTATTGGTTTTTACTGGTTTTATCCAGGACTCTCTCGCTCTCTCTCGGTTATTTGCATCTAGTAACACAACTATACTCGTCATTACGTAATCTGATAAACTGATTTTTCTGATTATGCAGATGTTCTTCCCACTTGGATTCTATTGCCATCTATAATGTAATCAGTGCCATAATTTTCGCTGGGTACATAGTTTATGACACTGACAATCTGATCAAGCGCTTCACATATGACGAGTACATATGGGCATCTGCCACTCTTTATCTCGATGTTCTCAACCTGTTTCATACCATTCTGCGGATGATTAGACAGGGAGACAACTAAGATGATATGTTACCACCTGAACTGTGGTTCATCGTAGATGGTCTTATAATGTTTTGCTTTATCGTTTAGTTACTGACCTAAATGCAAATTGTACGTTTCCGCGCTTGTGCATATATTGCTACTTACAGGTTTTACATTTAAGAATTTAATGTTCTTATAATATGGATAATTGTAATTTGCAATTCTAATGGAGTATAAATGAATACTACTATCATTTCCTTCAAACCAAAAAAGAAAAAAGAAAAGCGCAATTCAATATCAGTTGCTCATAATACACTACAACCTCACAAACTGGGAAAAAAAGAAGAAAGAAAGAGAGAGAAAAAAATGAAAGAAAAATGCTGAGGAGAAGACTATAACCAGATGCCATGCAACATGCAATGACAAAAAACCGAAATGTAAAACGTACTTACTACGCAGTCAAGACACTCTTTCTATTTCCTTGATTATCATTTCTTTCTCCTCTTCAAATTGATCGTCTTCACCACCTGCAACACATAATACAATTAGCAGTCACACAACGGAGAGAACTTGAAAAGGAAGAGCCATTCTCAAATCAAAAACAAAGACATGGTTGAAGTCTATAATCTATATTGTTGAACTCTTGAACTGGATAAAGAAATTTTGTACTGAGATACAAATACCTCTGCCAGGAGAGAGATCGTGGAGCAGCGCCAACAGCTTTTCACGGTTCTTTGCCAATATGATTCTTATCTCTCGAGGTTTGCTAGGGTTAGCCACAAAAACCTGTAAATGAAACGCCAAAGTCAAATTCAAGTTTAAATTAGGAATGAAGCAATTGGAAAACTACAACATTCCTGATATTAGACCTTAGTGATTCTAGCATTATTAATAAGTCCTTCATTGTGATTCACAAAATTCATATATCTGAAGAAAGTACTCAACTTACAAAGTAGTGAAAAGTCAATGCTGACTAGGTTTTGGGTACCGTGCTAGTTTTTTAAGCGGACAGATTGTTAACCCTGAAAACGAAGACCGCAAACCTAACCGAAGTACATCCCGAGGGGATTAAAGGCATAGAAAGCTTGCCCAAATCCAGCAAACCTTTCTTCATAATCCAGGAGGGCTACAGACTACTAATTAAATGGCACGTGGGCAAACGACTAAAGCGTGATTCATAACCGAATCTATTAACCAATGAGGAGCCACCTCTATCATTCTTCTCAAACAGACCAAACTATCCCAAGATTTGGAGGAAAATTTATAAATACCCCTTCATTCGAAGACAAGAGTATGCAATTTAAATGTCTTCTTCTCAAACACCTATTTATCTTCTTACTCTTGTTTGAGCATCGAAACTAGTGAATTTAGGAAGCGAAAGTCATAGTTAGGTGAGCAGCATTTGTTGATCGTATTTGTATCGTCAACACAGATAAAATGTCTATGAAATTCCATAAACACATGTGATTATACACGAAATAAAAAGAACTGAAGAATAAAGGAACCAAGGAAACTTGTGCAGAGCGCTCCACATGAAAGGTCATGCCAAACAAAGACTCCTTCCAAGATTCATATTAGCCATGAATCTTGTCAATATTTCTGAACAATAAATGATCCGAGAGACTTAAGTTAGAATTCGTACATTTGAAACTATCACGAGATCATTTTATTTCCCTTATGCTTATATGCATGTCAGATTTAGATTTTAAAGGTCAAATCTTTGGAGAACAGACTCAAATGAAGTGCAGGAACCTTCAAATCCGAACCCCCTGCTGCCTTTGTTCATCATATTTCACCACCGGAGAGGTATGGGTATCTTTGCTAAGCAACTATTCTACAAATTCAGAAAGGAAAACTTAATTACCTTGAAAATATGGAATGCAGATATTTGGATGTTTTTGCTCGAATCCTGTACAAAGAGTCATACAAGAGAAAAAGATGAGAAAAACCTCGGGAAGAAATCCAGGTCACTTTGAAAGCATTTTCCAATTTCCAATCTCTTGCGTCAATCATTTTTTCCAATTCTTAGGCACATTAATGAGTAATAATAAAATAACATAAAATATCATAATATTTCACATTGGTCGTGACATCATAAATACCACAAGCATCTGAGATCATGAAGAGAGCATTGAGTACCTTCAGCAATGTCATCATGACTTTCAAGTGGCGAACTTCGGCAATGTAGCTCTTCATTATATGGGAACTTGGAGACTCCAAAAGAAATTCAGAAAGAAGCTAAAGTTCATCCATTTTATATTGTCAATAGAAGAAATGATCACAAGCAGAACAGATAGCATATCACATAACTAACCTTCAAGGACTGCCTTCTTGTCACATAGTTGGCAGAGATCAAGAGTTTTTCATACTGCTCAAAGAACTAGAAACAAAACAACATGAAACATGAGTGCACACCGCTTGGTGAAATGTCATGATTTGAAGTGAAATTAATCCCTCATTCTGCAGAAGAGTTCTCTCAACTTTCACGGCCAAACAAAAACTTCTAGCATAATTTGTCAACAACATATTTAACTTTTGACACAAAAATCCTATCCTGAGGAAAATCTAATCAAGTGGATGGTTAAAAAAGTCAAATGGGAGCATTCAATTGTAGAAGGGAGTACTTATTTTCTGGTGAAAAGAACTTTAAATACAATTAAGTTAAATAATACTTTCAGATTATACTGATAACGAGCAAACCTCATTGTAGTGAGTAGTCAGGAATTCAGAAACTGCCAGTGGATGTTTAGTGAGCAGATCCTGTGACATGTTCCTTATATAGGTCATATAGAATAACAGAAAAGTATTTAATACTCAGATATTATACAAATTAAAACTTAGGCAGATATCTGACCTTAAATGTAGAAAATGCATCAGAAGCAACATCAAAATTAGGCAGCTCCACAAATTTGAAAAACAACTCAAAACTTGGAGACTCCAATATGTATCTGAAATAAGATTATGGGAAACTGTGACCTGTACAGCTGCATTGTTAAGAGGCCTTACATATATTATTTTATTATTACTTTTTTTCCCCGCACATTTTCATGTAAGAATGACAAAGAAGTTTCTATACAAAAATAAAAAGATTAAGTTAGCAAGCATGCATCTCTTACTTCGTAAGAGTAGGAAATTTGATGCATTCCCTCAGCACATTTCCACAATTCAAAGCAATTTCCTTGTTATCATAGCTGCTTGCAAAATATTCAAAATAGTTGGTTCATTAGAAAGAATACCCATAAAATCACAAAACTGTCTACAAGAACCATAGAAAAGAAACAAGAAGGAAGGTGAAAAGTGCAACAACAATTGAAAGCGGACAGGCAGAGTTGATCTTACAAACAGTCAGTCTAATACAAACCTTGTAGCCAAAGATTATTGATTTTATCACACATGCCTAAGCGAATCAAAGATAACAATAAGAAGAGACACGCATGTTTTGCCCATGCACGCATACAAAACCCAAAAATCTTTGCAGGAAACGTTTAAAATGAAGAGGGCGTGAACAACACTACCAATAGTTTGATTATTGGAATTACCAATAAACGAGTCTTAGTTTCAACTTCTATAGACTGTAATTCCTTGTTAAGAAAGCTCTTTGATGCGAACCCGATCAGCAAGGTTGCAATCGAATCCACAGGATATTGAATCGGATCCCAAGAACGCCAATATGACCAAGGTTTATAGATCTAACCCCAAAATAGTGAACCAAACAACCCAACAAGAACGTTGCTGTGAAGGACCTCTTGATCACACGATTGAAGAAATCACACCCAGATTGTGGATTTGAACCAATAAAAGATGAACTAAAAAACCCAACGGTAACGTTGACGCGAAAGATCCCTTGATTACACAATTCAATGATTCAACCCGATGTTTTGAACGCCATAAGATGTTTAAATCTTGATAAGTTCGATAAAATTGCCCATCATAGACAGTTTGGAAGCAACGCTTCGAAGAGGAAAATCTCTCATTAATTCATCAATAAAGTTTTGTATTACAATTATGAAAGAAAATCCTATTTATACTAGAAACATAGAAAAATAATTAAAGATAAAAATAAACTCCTAAAATATGGAAAAATCGTGTGCTAAAGTCCTAATAATATTAGAGTTTCCAAAAATAAGAAATTCAACCAATTAAAGCACTTCGCGAGAAAAGGAAAGATTTCGCCTTCGTTTAGTGCTATGCAACCGCATGGCACAATTTAGTGCAGTCGCATGGTTGTTCCAAATGTTGCCGAAAAATTCCCTGTTTGCTCCTATGCGACCGCAAGGGTTGGAAGCTGTGCGGTCGCACAACCTTTGATTTTGGCTCCGTCTTCGGCTACAATTATCAAGCTAATCCTAATTGAATTAGGCTTCGGCCCCTTCATCAAATTTACTCCTTGACACGTGAACTTCATGGTTTTAGACTTCGTTGCTCAAATACATAAGTGACCAATTTTATTAGCTACTTCGAAGTCTCGACTTGGCTTGGTTCTTGACTTCGACCTTCTCCAATCAATTAATGAATTCTTGGAAATTGATGGTGCACCCGGGATCATATCATCCCCCTCTCTTCAAAAGGATTCGACCTCGAATCCAAACCTTCAATTTCCAAATTATAGCCCTTGTTTCCAATTAATGCAATGACGTGAAATGGTCCACCGCCTCTAGGTTGAAACTTGGACCGCTTTTGAATTCTTGTCCTCCTCTTGCATATAAAAACCCAATCTCCTTCACAAAGATTGAAGTGCTTACGCTTGGATGGTTTCTTTTTGCAAGCTTGTGATGTTCCAAAAATAAATTCAGCTGATAAATCTCCAATCTTTTTTCTTGCGTTACTCATACTCGGCCTGGGCAAATGTAGCATTGTCACTCCAATGGGATGCATTTTTAATGGCATATCACTTTGGTATTTCAGCTCCCTGCAAATAAATTGCTTCCATGGCCTTTGATACTCCATCACTTCCTCAGGGATCACAAATTCAATGTTTGGTTTTGAAGAGAATTCCAAACCAAGATGATGTTGTTGAGCATTATCCACCAATTGATTATCAATGCCCGGGTTGTAAGGAATCCCAATTGGCTCAGCGTCATGGACTAAATCTCCGATAACCTGCAAAAATGGAATGTCCAAAATAGGGAGGGAATTATTAGTTTCTGATAAAGCCTTCTCAACTCCTCTTTCATTTTCATCCAAGCTCACTTCCATCACTTCATTTACCTCCAAAGACCCTACTCCATTTTCCACTTCTAATTTAACCACTTCTTTATTCTCATTTTTACTCTCGATCTCCTTTTTATTTTCTTGTGGCTCATCTACTTTGTCCTCACAATTGACCACCTCACTATTTTCTCTAGAGCTCTCTTTTTGTGGAAAATTTGTCTCGCCCTTTTCCATTAGATACCCATCTCCATAATGTCTACTAGGCTTCTCCCTAAATTCTCGCTCACACTGATCCGGTTTATAAAAATAATTAGGCGCATATCGCTTCCTCATTATAGTTCTCAATTCATCCCAAGTTTCAATACGCCTATTTCCATTCTTCCACTAGTTTGTCAACTGATCGTACCAAGTAGTTGCATAACCCACAAAAGTGTACATAACTAACTTTAATTTTCTCTCATCGGAGTAGTCATGGCAGTCAAACATTAATTCTACCCGTTCTTCCCATGCAAAGTATGCCTCGGGATTGTCCCTACCCTTAAATCGTGGAAGTGATATTTTGCCATTTTCCACATTCCTACCAACACCTCCAAAATGATTTCTATCCTTTTCTTCGGATTGATCATATTTATTCCTTAATCCCCGTACCTCATCAATACCACCACCATATCCATAGACATCACACATTTTAATTCTAGGTTCCCGTCGTCTAACATTGAGCACCTCATCACATTGATCCCGATGAATCTCCTTCAATTTCACATCAATCCTATCCAACTTATTTCCCAACCTATCTTCCATATTCACCAACATTTTCTCCAATCGCCGCATCATCGTTTCAGACATAATTCAATTGGGTTGTGGGTGAAACTCGAGAATTTTCAAAGACTCAGGAATTTGACAGAAAATTTGGAATGAATTATGAAAATTCAAGTGGTCTTGAATTTCTGACTGATTAGACTACCTTGATTGGAACTTTAGTATGAATTCAAGAAAGTGGTTTTTGAATTGGAATTTGACACAATAATTTTTTTTTTTTTTACCCAAATAATAAGATCTTGAAATTTATTTTTTTTGACACTGCACGGATGAATAGTGACTGTGAACAGTAAACAATTTTTTTTTTCTTTTTTTGACTCACTAGATGAAAAATTCGACTACGATGCTAACGGAACAAACGGAATAGGATTTGGATGTCAAATTAGCCCAAAAACAAGATTTAATTTAATTTTATTTTTATTTTTAAGGATCAAAGACTCTAAACATTATTGACTCCAAGAACAATTAAAAAAAATGAAAACTGACTCAATAAGAAAAGGAAAAGATATAATCTTGATCTTGGTGCCTAAAGCTCTGATACCAACTGATGCGAACTCGATCGGTAAGGTTGCAATCGAACCCACGGGATATTGAATCAGATCCCAAGAACGCCAATATGACCGAGGTTTATGGATCTGACCCCAAAATAGTGAACCAAGCAACCCAACAAGAACGTTGCTATGAAGGACCTCTTGATCACACGATTGAAGAAATCAAACCCAGATTGTGGATTTGAACCAATAAAAGATGAACCAAAAAAATCCAACGGTAACGTTGACGCGAAAGACCCCTTGATTACACAATTTAATGATTCAACCCGATGTTTTGAACGCCATAAGATGTTTAAATCTTGATAAATTCGATAAAATTGCCCGTCATAGACAGTTCTGAAGCAACGCTTTGAAGAGGAAAATCTCTCATTACTTCATCAATAAAGTCTTGTATTACAATTATGAAAGAAAATCCTATTTATACTAGAAACATAGAAAAATAATTAAAGATAAAAATAAACTCCTAAAATATGGAAAAACCGTGTGCTAAAGTCCTAATAATATTAGAGTTTCCAAAAATAAGAAATTCAACCAATTAAAGCACTTCGCGAGAAAAGGAAAGATTTCGCCTCCGTTTAGTGCTATGCGACCGCATGGCACAATTTAGTGCGGTTGCATGGTTGTTCCGAATGTTGCCGAAAAATTCCCTGTTTGCTCCTATGCGGCCGCAAGGGTTGGAAGCTGTGCGGTTGCACAACCTTTGATTTTGGCTCCGTCTTCGGCTGCAATTTTCAAGCTAATCCTAATTGAATTAGGCTTCGGCCCCTTCATCAAATTTACTCCTTGACACGTGAAGTTCATGGTTTTAGACTTTGTTGTTCAAATACATAAGTGACCAATTTTATTAGCTACTTCGAAGTCTCGACTTGGCTCGGTTCTTGACTTCGACCTTCTCCAATCAATTAATGAATTCATGGAAATTGATGGTGCACCCGGGATTATATCACTCTTGTTCGAAACTTCATAAAATTTTATAATTTTGGTACAGCAGCATAAAGTTTGAACTTATGAGTTGAAAAATAGTTGAAGCAAAAGGTCTTCAGAATGACAAATTTCATGTATTTTGAATGACATAGAATGGGACAGCATAAGGTATTTTCTGTCGGAGTTAATACAAAATATTGAAGGAGAAAGAGAAAGGAAAGTAAAATAGATACATTTTTAAGAATTTCATTACTTTCCTTCATCTTGAAGAGTTTGAATTACAGTGTAAAAGCAACAATTGAAAAACTTAATGAACTAATACTGATAACCATCTGCATATTGCCTTTTCATTTAGTCCATGCAAAAACAATAGATCTCCAATGTAGGCATATCGATTTAACAGTTTTTCTATCCTCCAAAGACGATTAATACTTTTCAACGACTGATCGTTTCCTTTTACATTTTTTCTTTTGGTTCGAGGGGGAGTTGTCCTATCAAAAAATTATGAAAACCTAATCATAAAAGCCCTCAGCATTTATGACAAAACAAAAGTAATTGACTGGCAAAGAAAGCTATAGAAGCTCTTACCAGACTACGAGGAAGTCCAGTAACTCTAGATGGTTCTCCATGTATTGTACACAGCAACATACAGAGTCAACCTTTTGCTTCAACAATATCGACCAAGAGTGGACCAAATTTTTCCTAGCCTATATACAGATTAACCATTATTAGTCAAGAATATTAGCTTAATCCACCAGTAAACATATATTTAACAACTTTTTCTTTATTTAACACATGAGATCATTCATATACTTACTTCCCATCCCAAAATAGATAACTTGTGAATAAACAGAGATATAACATCTTCATTACAGATTTCAAGTGTGAGTTGTAAAACTTGATCCATGTTTGGTTCAACTTCACCATCTCCTGAGAGCATAGTTCTCATTGTCATTATGTTCTTGTCTACTTCTTCCAAAGCCTATAACAGAAAAGAAAAAATGAAAAATGTAAATAACCATGATATATCTACACACAATCAGTTGAGAGAAATCACATGCACTTCCATGCATTATTCTACATGTGTCCGGATCTTGATAAGCAAACTAGCTTTCGATTGACAGCATACATTTTCCCCAATTAACAATTTGAATTATATCTTTTGCTCAAAAATCAAATATTAAGTTACCCGTCATTCTTCCTGGGGTAAGTCTACTACCGACCAGAAAGGAAAATTAAGCCCCTACCTTTATCTGGGAGAACAAGATGAAAGGTTAGTCTTATTCCTTCTTCGAGGTCATGATCGTTTTAATTCTTTTCCTGATAAATAAAGATATTATAGTTATAAATGGGATTTACTTCCCTTGTGATTGCCTGTTACAGTCACATATATATTTGACATTGTTCGAATACTGGACTATCTGGACAAAAATCTTAAGTTCTACAAATGAACTGAAATTATGCAACTTCCAGACTCGCTATTAAAACAGTCAGGCAAGCCTGAAGAGATTACTTCGTTGCAGTTCAAGTTAGACAATATTGATTAGACACAAGCAGAGACATCATTATTGATGAGCAATATCAAAGAGTTGATGAGATCCAAGATATTGGCGAGATTATAGAAAAATAATAAAAGTAACAAAATAAGCAACTTGCTCTATTGATGCTAATGTCTTGCCTTCAAAATTTCCACGAGGTTTTGCTATCTAAGCAAAGTTCAAAAACACATTCTCCCTTCCCCTGTGGCTTTTTTCCTCTCTTAATCATACAACCATAGATATGGAAAATGAGCCAGTTAGAGATGGCAGCAATTCAGAGGCACAACAATAACTCATATGTTATTAGGGGAACCAACTTAGTTTAATAATCAGGTTGATTTATTTTGATGGAAGTCTGCTTCCTCAGATTAAATTATATGTAATCTGTTAACCGTCTTGAACAAAAAGGAACTGGTCTTTAGTCAATTCTTTTTAAGCATTTTAAGAACTTCAGTTTTGAAGCATTGCGCCTATTGAAATAATTGAAGGCCTAGAAACCATCATCCACATTGCCTTGGACTAAACTGTGCTACTGAATTAATTGTTGAAATGTGGACAGATTGATCGGGATGGTAGTGAAGAAGCACAAAACCAATTTATCACATTATAGATCCACATATAATAGTAATTTAATGCAGAGAAGACATGATGGGCAAGCTAGTGACAAAGGGGAAAGTCGAGCCCCCAATAAAATAAAAGGCAACCAATGCTACCAATGTCTCGTTCTAATTTATTCAAGTATATCTCAGACCTCGCCCCAGACAATCGTGCCATAAGTCTTAACACAAACTGCCCGATACATGAAATTATTGCAATTTATGTATATACAAGTAAGCAATTTTGTGGTATACTGCCTGCCAATAAATTAAAAACCTTAATTACTGTTATTTTCAATGACATAAAAGAGAGGCAAAAAAAATAAATAATAGGCAGAATCTTATACTAAAATGCTATATCCATAAATACTGCAGTTCATTCATATTGTTTTTCATAATTATTCCTTTTTATCTTCTTTCATCAATGTGTATGAGCAAATGCATTTAAAATACAATATTTAAACCAACTATACAAATAATTCAATCATCAGCACGTCAACAAAAACAACCAAATTAACATTCCAGAAAGCCAGCAAATTTGGTACAATTTAAATAACAAGTCACAAAATATTAGAGAATGGAAAAGAAGAGACCTTTTCGAGGGCTTTAACTTCCGCAACCGTTTTAGTGTCGAGAGCCATGAGACTATCTTTGATCGCCTTCGCCAGCTCCTGTGGGGTTTTAGGCCGAGAAGGCTTGAAAAATGAAAACGACATTTTCTTCTTTAACTCAAAATTATCAAAGTTACGATCGTTAATCGGTGAATTCAGTAAGATTTATCGCGATCAACTGAAACTTTACAGTGTTCATGAATTTGAGGATTTTGATTAGGGCTATACTGCAATGGAAATTCTTTATTCCAATTGCATCAAACGATCTCAACAATTGTTCACACAATCTTGGAAAGAATACAAAATTGGTGGGAAGATTGTATTTTCCTCAAGAAGAAAATGGAATTGAGAAATAATATGCTTATTATTTGAGAAATGGTACTCTGTTAAGAAATGGAAGAAATAAAAATAAGAATGGTTCAACTTACAATTATTAGGTGTCATTTGATACACATTAATCTAAAAATGAAAAAAAAAATGAAAAATATAATCGTTAAATACCCCATTCAAGAAATAGAAAGTCAAATATTGAGATTTGATGTGATGAATAACGATTATTTTTTTCATTTTAATGTACAAATAAAGGGAAACAAACAGAGTTTATTTTCAAACCTTTTTCTAAAAAAAAAATAAAGCTTTAAGTACAGAAAAAATTTAATAGAATGTGTACAAATACTGACGTGTCAAAATGTGTTTAGCCTGTTCTTTTTTTTTTCCCCCATCTTACAATAATGCAATCCATCTTTTGTTGTGTGCAAGGATTTTCTGTCAAAAAATTATATATTTGTAGCATAATTGTCTTTTTTCTATGTGCTCATTTTTAACTCAAGTTCACACAATAAAACATTCTCTACATAAAAAAAAAAAAAAAAAAAAAATTATTACTTTTTAACCATACATTCTGCTAAAAATCACTATTCAAATATCTATTATTTCTAAATAATGATTGTTAAACAGGTACTAAGTGACATAATTTTAGTAGTTACAAGATGAATAATGTTATTCATAATCAGCAACTTCAATAATCATTCTATATCATATTTTTTTATTTGAGCTTAACTTTCTGGAATTCTATTGCTACATATAACAAACTAACACCTCAAATAACAAGTTGTCACGTAAAATGATTATTGTAGTCACTGATTATGAATAACACTACTTATAGTTAGTGATATATTATAAAAAAACAAGTCGATATAATTTCAAAAATATTCGAAATTGTCAAATTAGCAAATGTTTTTTTGAAAATTGTAGAATATTCGTGAAAACAACACTCGCTCGTCCAATTACATTAACTAGAGAAGCAAGAATTGAGGTTGTAAATGGTTGAAATGTTCACTGGATTTCCTCTCCCTTTGCAGGGAGGACATAATTCATGTGAGGAAGTAGAGATCGTAGTTCTCAAAAAGCAACGTAAAAGATGTACCATAATTCCCTGTTTACAAATTTCTCAGGCTACACGTGCAAATCCTCGTTTGTTAAGAATAAAAAATACGTGACAAGTTTAATTGTTTTGAATCATGATTACATGTTTGGCAGGTATATTGTTGGATGTAAGATGTTCGACAATGCCATTTTTCACTATAAATTCGTTGAATTGTTAATTTGAGAAATTACCGAGCTGAGTTAGTTGAGCAAGTTTTGTCAAATAGTAGGTTGTGTGGCGCCTATAAAATGCTTGGTAGTTTAGTAAAACTTGTGCATCCGTCACAAAGATTAAATTTTTTTTATAAGCTAATATTCAAATAACAATTTATTGAATTAATTATTCAAATAGTCATTGAACTTATGTCTATATCTTTAATGGCTCACTACAGTTTAAAATGTTGAGTTTTTACGACTAAACTTTAAAAAACGTTGGATGTTAACATTTGTTTAAAACCATTAACAGAATTGGTGATATGGTTAACAGAATGTATATGTGGTGCCCGTCGCGCCATTAAAACTTTGAGATGGTTGAATTTTGGTCACTAAACTTTGGAAGAAGTTTTCGATTGCTCACTTAACTTTAAAAAATGTCTTAGATTGCTCATCGAACTTTTAAGTCATTGAATTTTAACCACTAAACTTTGAGATAGTCGAATTTTGACTACTACACTTTGAAAAAGTCTTCTTTTGCTCACAATGAATTTGGATTTAATTAAAATTCATTGTTAAAATTTAGATTAAACCCTTGTTTGGCCTCATTAAAATTATAATTCATTTTCTTTTTTCTTCTTATCAATCACACATTTTTCAATAAAATAATATTTTATGTAATCCAAAAACATTTTTTTTATCATACATTAAAAAAAAAAACCTATTTCAACCAGTAAAATTTCAAAAAATGGGGGCTAAAATTGAATTGAATTTAATTCTTACAACAAATTTAGCCCATGTTTTATAGAAATTAAAATTTAGAGTTTTGTCAAACTCAAATTTAACAATTAATTTTAACCAAATGTTTCATGGGACCCACTACTTTTTAATTACTTGTTTCAACATTTTTTATCAAAAGCTGCTAAAAATATTATTTTAATCCTCATCAAACAAGGGCTTATTGTGTGTTTTGTTGTAAACTTCAAAAATTAAAATTTAGATCTAATTTAATTTTAATAACAAATTTATTGCCAATTTCGTTGCAAATTCAAATATTATGGTAGACAACGTTTGCAAAGCTGTACAAAAAGGAAGTGAGAACTAATTGTAATGAAATACACAACAAATTTGTCATTTAGATTAAATTAAATATAAACTTTAATATTTGCACAATAGATAGAATTAAATTAAATATAATTTTAGTTCGACTTTTACGACAATTTTAATTAAAATTAAAATTATTGCGAGGAGTAGAAGACATTTTTCAAAATTTAGCGGCCAAAATTTTATCATCTCAAAATTTAGTGGCCGAAATTCGACCATCTCAAAGTTCAGTGAGGAATAAAAGACGTTTTTCAAAATTTATTGAGCAACCAAAGACAATTTCTAATGTTTGGTGCTCAAAATTCTACCATCACAAAGTTTAGCGACCAAAATTCAATCATCTCAAAGTTCAGTAGGATTAGAAGACGTTTTTCAAAATTTATCGTGTAATCAAAGACTATTTCTAATGTTTAGTGCCCAAAATTTGACCATCTCAAAGCGTAGTGGCCAAAATTAAATAATCTAAAGTTTATGAGCAATAAAAGACATTTTTTAAAATTTAGTGAGCAATTGAAGACTTTTTCCAATGTTTAGTGACCAAAATTCAACAATCTCAAAGTTTAATAGCGTGACGAGGCATTACATGTGTATTTCGTCAGTCACGTCATCAATTTCGTTAGAGATTTTAAATGAATGTTATATCAGTGCGTAACGTTCAAAGTTTTTCAATGTTTAGTTGTCAAAACTCAATATCTTAAATTTCAGTGAGCAATTGAAAACATAGGCACACGTTCAGTGATTATTGGAACAATTAAATCCAATTTGTCATGTAAAATGACTACTGTAGTCGTTGACTATAAATAACACTACTTGTAGTCGACAATATATTATAGAAAACAAGTCGATATCATTTCAAAATATTCGAAAATTTATCAAATTAGCAAATGTTGTTCTAAAATAGTAGAATATTCGTGAAAATAGCTCTCGCGCATCCAATTAAATTAACGAGAGAGAACAATAATTGAGGTTCAAATACACGAGAAATTTCTTCAATGGTTGACATGTTCACAGGACTACCTATCCCTGTGTAGAGAGGACTGTAAGTATTATGCCTTAGGTTCAATCAACTTGAACATAAATACTTTTGATATATAATTAATGCAATTTAATGACACATCTATTATTTAATTAATAGATAATTAAATAAATAATAGAGTTCGTTGATTCAAATCTTCGTAATTTGTTAATCACAAGGAGTTGTGATTGTGAGATACAAATTACATTTGATTGAATTTTAAATCGTCCGCGATCGTAAGTAATAACAAGATACGGATATCGTTATTACGGATAGACCATCACATGCGGCATTTCTTACTTATAAAGTAAGTAGCTGATCTCACAAGTTAAAGTGTGGTGACACTTAAATGAACACGTGGATGTTTTGTTATAGAACAAAACATTGGAGACCCGTCGGGAGATTCCACATGGATAACTATCTGAGTGTCAGTGGTTTATTTCTAATGTTCGATAGTGGGATTGATCCTTTTGACTTGAGGTCTTCATAGTACCTTATATGAGGACGATCATGCTTTGACGTTGTTGGATGTTGCTCTGCCAAGGGCTGCTAATACTGCATCGTTCGGGTATATCAATAATCATATGAAGGTTGTGAATGACCAAATAGAGGATTCGTCACTCTTAGATAGTAAGAGATTGTGATCCGCGTTTCATTCAATTAAGTCGATATCGAAATCCTTGGCCAATGTGTACTCATAAGTCCAAAAAGAGTTTTCGACTTATATTGACTTAATAATGGAGTGAAAGATATGATCGATAATCGAGATTGACACACTTTCATATCTCGTAATTGATCAGATCATATTGAAGAAGGGATTATAGTTTCACGGTAAAAGAACGAGTTTGGTTTTATCATACCACATGACATTTTCCGTCACATGTATTACCCTGACACATTGTTAGATGTCAATTTGGGACGGCGAGTGTGAATTGATGATAAATTAAAAGGGTGTTTTAATTTATCAATTTTGATTATATCAAAATAATATTTCACGTTGTTAGGTATCGTGATCAGGAATCTGATGGGTTGCACACAAAAGAGAATGAGAAGATTGCAATTTGTCAATTAATTAATTTAACAATCGTTGGATAAATTAATTAATTGGTTTGGTTATTTATAGGCTCAAATTAATTAATTGGATTAATTAATTCACGGACCGAATTTAACTAAATGGATTAATTAAATATTGAATCGGATAGGACCAGGCCCGTTTGGGCTTATATAAATACATGACTAGGGTTTTCAATCCATAGGTTTTTTCTCATAATTATTCTTGCTAGTACAAGAAGAGAAAATCCTGGTAGCTGCAATCTTGTTTTCTGTGTGGATCACCATTGGAGGCTAGACAATTGGATAGTTGAGGGTGGCAAATCAAGATTGCTGGAACGAAAAGAATAGCAAATAAGTTTGTAGATCTGGAAAAGGTATAATCTTATCACAATTTCTATTTAAACACAAAGGCGATTCTTGGTGGGAATCGAAATCTGTTTTAATTTTCCACTGTGCATGTTAAGTAGATTCCCAACAGTGGTATCAGAGCCTCATTTATATTTGTTAGAAATTGATTTGTGTGATTGAACAATCGAACGTTGATTGTTATTATTTTTCTTGTTTCTAGCAACTAAGTGGAAATTTAATTTTATATTTTTGAAATTTGATTCAAAAAAAAAAAAACAAAAAACATTTTTTTTTGTTCAGGC